CTCCTGAAAGAAACCGATTGTGTGTGTGTTCCCTATTAAGAGAGCTAACCTTCAACATCCCAGACCTGAGCTGCTTTATATAACATGCGTGTGTCTATGGTGTGTTTATATAGGGGTCCTGTGGTGACTTGTAGAATCTGATTGCTAGTATATTTGTGGCTCCGGTGCCTGAGGGCCACACAGACGCCCATCAAATGTCCCTCCGTCAGCCTGCTAAGAGCCTTATGAATCTTTAATATCATTCCCCCGCAGGGTTAATATGAGCTGCAGCTCACAGTAGGAGATTTCTCTGTTGTTGTTGTTTATTGTTCATTCATTTGTCCTGTCCTCGCGGATCTGTTTGTGAGCGCGTGTCTGTAGGCTACGGCTTGTTCACCCACAGGAGAGGGTTACTGTGTGTTATCAGAGTGACATTTTGTTATTTCTCACCCTTTATGAAAGATTCTTTAGCAGCCTGTTCAAGGCCGCAGGGACGGAGGCTGTAATAGAGGGATGAATCACAGCTGAATTACTCCAGTGCCACTTTTCATTGGGACTGTGATGGGTTTTTGTGTATGGTGTATTCTTTAGAGCTCTATGTGTGTGCGCTTTGAGAGAACTGAGCTCAGATTGATTGTTATTGGTTGTAGACGAAATTATAATTCATTAATGTATTTGTGCATTAAAATTGTGTTGTAAATGTAAATCCAAACCAACGATTCAACATTAAACTCACAAAGAAATTTCAGCCTTCACCTCAGAATATTTTTTTATGAATAAAATTAAGCCTATTTTAGCGTGATTAAGAATATACTTAAATTGCACTCATTTTCAATAGAATTACATGAGTATAATACGAATAATAACATTAGCTATGTTTCCATCACCCTGTTTTTATGTGCATTTTCAAGTATCGCATCAGAAATGAGTGATGGAAGCACCAAATTTCTGAAAAAAAAAAAAAAAAATCAGATTTTTTTTTTTTACGCTCGCTTGAGGTGGTTTTTGACTTGTGTGAAAAAGGGTTAATGCTGATATTGCATTATAATTACATTAATTGCATTATAATGCTAAGTGATATTTAGTGCCAGTTTATCAGGAAGTGATGATTTTCTCTTTGACTCGTTGGATGGAAACGGTGCTTATTTGCAAAGGTTTTGTGCGATATTCCAATTTTTGCGCATAAATTAAATTAGCAACTTTGGATGGAAACCCGGCTATTGTTTTTCTCCTCATTACAGAAATAAGAATGAGATTTAACATTGCTGCTGTATTGAATATCGATTAATAGCCAGTGATGTAAATATGCATAAGCATACATATTTTCTTCGTGCATAATATAATTTACACAGTATATATATATATTTTTTTTTTACAAGACTTTTTCTCCCCATTCACATTAAAAGCAAAATAGGTCTCATTATCCTCAATTTCCCTCATAAGCACACACACACAACTTAATGGTTACTAAAGATATCTCAATTTGACTATGGGTTAGTAAAGATATTTGATACTAAGTGTTATACTACACTCTTAGGATTTCGTGGAGATGCCATAACCACCAGAACCATTTTGGTTTCCCCATGAACCTTTCACTAAGCAGCTGTTAAAAGAGCCAGTGTCCTAAAATCTGTATTCTACATTAAGCAAGGGGCTCCATCCTGGTGGCCAGCTATGGCATGCAATAGTTAATAAACAACAATGACATACATCCACACCAACAGATGTCAGTAAGACAACTGTCAGAGAAGGCAAATGAGAGCCAACTTGCACAGCGTTGTCTTTAAGCAAAAACACCAAAGAAGTTTCCCATAATGTATGCAGACTTCGTTATCAAAATGTATGTTTAAAGTAGTTTGTACCTTCCTGCAAGTTTCTCATTATATCAAACCAGTATTTTGTCTTTTTTTTTTACAGGCAGACTGGGGCAAGTGAATTCCCAGAAGTTGAGTCAGAGAAAGATCAACCAATCAGATTTGCTAAAAAGTTATTAATGAGTGATTCAGTGAATAATTCCTTCAAACAATTCATTCAAGTCTTTATGAATGGATTATTGAATCATTGACTTGACATTGACATCACTGGAACAAAACACCATAGTGTTGCTTTGAGATGCGCAAATGTTCAGACAATATGTTAAATGTAACACACTCAATATTAACTTGTTTTGAACTGTTGTATCAAATTTATATCACATTGGCAGCCACACTCATGTACCAATATTTAGGAAAATGTCACTCTTGCTTGTGTGATATTATATCGTATCTTATACATATAAAAAACAAAAACCCATTCAGGGATATTTTTTGCAATTCAATTATAGACTACGATACGATAAATTACAATATTGTATCGTACATGATAAATATCGCACACTCCTAACTGGTTTGCCATTTTGTGTCCATAATGCATCAGATGGTCAGTGAACAGACTATGGTGGTCCATGAGTACACCATCTGAGATGTAAAACATAAACATAAAATTGCTTAGAGCAACTTAAAAAAAAAAAGAAGCCTTATTTCATGTATAAATGCGAATAATTCTTTCCTTGTAGAAACCATCTTGATCGGATAATCTGAGGTAATAATAGATGTTGTGACAAGGTAGTGGACTCCTGAATTTAGACCTCTGGGGAATGTAAAAAAACCTGAAAAAATAATTTACAGGAAATACAGCCTCATCTCAGCGACTCGCACAGCTCTCTGCCTAGAGGGAGTTCCACAGTGGGAACCGCAGGTGACAGATAGCCAATAAAAGGGTGTGATTATGGCGCTGGAGCTGTTAAAAGAGTTTGATAGCGGAGACTTTTTTTTCTCCAAATGAGCTTTCATGAATTTCAGGATTAGGTCTGAAACACTCTTTGTAGACAGAAATGCTTGGCCAATGCATTGCAAGCACGCAGTCTTACTTAACATGTTCTTCTGACATACTGAAAATTGAGCCTTAGTAAAAAAACTATGAGTTCATGTACTTGCATATGTAATCGTTTCCTCTTGGCTCACTCTGTGGGGGTTTGAACTGGCGGTAGCCAGGGAGTCTGGCTTGCTAACGAGGATGCTAAAGACCACACCCAATAGCATGCCTCTTGTAGCCAGGAGAGTGAGATTTACCTGCACAACTGTTTTGTGCTGGCCTCCTACATCTGGGTCACACTGTAGAGCACCACTGTAACTCGTTCAACATGGTCCACTTCGAGCAGAGCTCAAATTAGCGATAACCGGGATGGGAGTTGGGCACGCTAATGAGGATGCTAATGGGACTGAAGTTTACCAAGGGATTGACGTTTACCTGCACAGCTATCTCAAACCAGCTGGCCTCTATTACACTCATATCCATCTGGGTCACGGCACCACTTTATTTAATCAGTTCTACACATTCCGGTTTAAGCCCAGTTACTGGCTTCGAAGTTGGATGTACTTGGAAGTGTTGCTAACGTACTTCTACAGGCCACAGGCCTCCATTATGTCAGACTTTGTCAACCTATTTGTGACATACAGTTATGTATGCATTAACCCAGATGCAAAGCGGGTAGTCGCATTCAGTTACGTTAACATTGCATTCCTGCGGCGCTAACAAACATCAGTTTTCAAGGGGGTCAAAGTGTTCAAATGCCACGCCTCTCACCTCCCGAGGATTGCAATCCGGCCAGAGATGCTCAAAATCAAGCTTGGGAAGCTAAAAGTGTCTACTTTCACATACTTGCATATGTTTATCTTTCTTGTACTGTAAATGTCTATCAGTAAAGCCTTTGTCTCTGTCTCTCTAGATGCTGCATAATAAACATGTGATGGTGCGAGTTGGTGGAGGCTGGGAGACGTTCGAGAGCTACCTGCTGAAGCATGACCCCTGTCGCATGCTCCAGATCTCTCGTGTAGAAGGCAAGATCTCACCCATCTCCGGCAAATCTCCCAACATCAAAGACCTCGCGCCCGACAGCTACCTGGTAGTGGCGGCCCACTACAAAAGCAAGAAGTAAAGAAGAAATGTACTAAAGAAACAATGACTTTTAACGTAACTTTGAAGCACAGCTCACTGGCTAGCCGTTGTAGATGCCACAGGGACACATGGACTTCTACTGGCTTCTAGAACTAAAAATTTCAAAGAGAAAAACAAATCATAATACATAAATAACAGTGTAGACCAATTAGTTTGTGCATAACAAAGATACTGAACTGGAATTCAGAAACAAGGCAGTTTTATTGTATACCAAATTCTTACATTTCTTTTCTTTTTAGCCTCTTATTGTTTACTTGATTAAATATAAATTGCATAATAACCTTTTATATTCAATAGTGTCTATATGGAATGAAATCGCTGGATGAATTCAAGTATTTACTTCTACCCTGATGGCTATTCTTTTTAGTGCTTCCTATACTAACAATATTAATGACTTTTTTTGGGGAGTATTATTATGCTCTTTTGATGCCATGATATATATATTTTCTGACATTTATTGTATTACACTGTGCTCACCTTGCTCTGTTGGAGAATGTAATCTGTTCATGCCCAGTAAAGCAAGTTACTATCAATTACTTTTTCACATAACTAGTAAAGTAATGCATTAATTTTAAAGTTACTTTTTCAGATAAGTAACGCAAGTTACTTTGTTTTCCTATGTATTCACTGACCTCTCTCCTGTCTCGTGTTGAGAGAAATTGTGAGGTGCAGAGGCACTTCCTTTAATTTGACTTTTGGTGTGAAAGGGCCATTAAGAGTTGGCATAGTAAAGTAATGCATTAATTTTAAAGTTACTTTTTCAGATAAGTAACGCAAGTTACTTTGTTTTCCTATGTATTCACTGACCTCTCTCCTGTCTCGTGTTGAGAGAAATTGTGAGGTGCAGAGGCACTTCCTTTAATTTGACTTTTGGTGTGAAAGGGCCATTAAATATAACTTTAAATTAAATATAACAAAAAATATAACTTTTGGGTTGAGAAGCAAGCCCAGCCCAAAAGTAGTGCATTACTTTCCATTAAAAGTAACTAAGTAATGCAATATTGTAATGCATTAGTTTTAAAAGTAACTTTCCCCAACACTGTTCATGCCAAACATCAGAACAGGATGACATGTGATGGAAGCGACTATGACAGTAGAATAGTGGTTGGAATATGAGAAACTGCTGATCTCCTGGGACCATCCAGTGAGCCACAGTTCTGTATAAGGTCAAGGGAGAATGGCTTGACCTTGGATCACAACAGTGTAAAGCAGAAGAACATGTCTGGATGAACATCACATCAATCTCTGGAAGTCAGCAAAGAAAAGAAAACTCGTAACATCACTTCAGTGTGAGCTCCAGAATTTGTAAGGATTTTTTTCCCAGCACTTTGCTGAATCGAGGTGTAACTAATAAAGTGAGCACTGTGTGTGTTATTTGCAGTATAATAATAGTGCACTGAAGAGGCCAGAGTTCATCAGTTACAAGGCAAAGGAGATTTTTCAGTGAACAAATGCTTGGTTGTTCAATCAAACACAATCTTTATTTAAGCAATGACTCTTCGCAGATGTGCTTCTAAAACAGTTCCTGATCCGAATGTGTCCCGCTGCCCTCTACTGGTAAACATTGCAATACTTTGTCTGATTTGTTATATTATTGTTATACAGTGTCTGATGTTGATAACCCATTCTGAATGAAACCTGGGAAGATATTTCAGTTTCCCTGCCACAAACAGTGAGTGAGTTGCTGTAGGAAGAGGTAACAACTCATGAGCATAATAATAATAATAATAAAAGAAATGCATTAAAGGCGATATGATGAGTTTCTATAGATACAATATATTCCACACTAACCACTATAGCTCAGGCTGCTAGTGCACATGCCACTGCTGCATGGCCCAGACACATGGATGTTGCGTTTGAATGCAGTAAGTTAAGATTTTCTTAACTGAAGACAACCAAAGCCCTTCGGAAAAGGGTGAGAAATCAATGCGTCTCATGAGATAAAGTGATGCACATTCAATTTGGTTCATAAGAACAGCAAGTCGTACAATCAACAGGCAGTGAAAGTGCTAACTGACATAATATCCATTATTATTATACTTCAAGTCCTGACCAATCGCAAAATGCACTGGTAACTGATGCATAAATATAAATGCCTAAATATGTATTAAATTATCCAAAATCCAATATAAAACATGCTTTTCAGTTGTATAAATGTGTATTAAAATGACATTCAGATCTCAGATTTGAGGATTCCATTAATGTTCAAAATAGAAAGCACATCGGTACAAAAGCTGCGTGTCTGAAATGATGCATGAACACAAACTGAACAGGTTGTGTGTGTGTGTGTGTGTGTTTGTGGGGGGTGGGGGGTGGCCTAAATGCACTCTGGCCAATCAGAAGGCCTGGAGGATGAGGAGTTTTGTGCAGGAGCTCGGCAAAAATTCTAGTCTCTATGCAAACTCCCCTGGCTAGTGTACACTTCAAAATAAGAACCGAAAGAATGAAGAGTTTTAAGAATCTCTCAAGTCAGCGGGAAATAACTGCAGATGAAGGCTGACCCCCGATGTAAACACACCAGCGATCTTCCCTTTAGCCTGTGTTAGCCAACCTGCCACTGGAGAGAAAGAGAGAGAGAGAGAGAGAAAAATCGGGACCTATCATGTGCAATACAAAACTAATCATAAAGGTCTTCACGAGTTAAGGGAATTAACATCAAATATCAATGAAAGACGATACCTAACCTTTAGGAAATGTTGTCCAGCTCAGAGGGTCAAACCAAATATTATATGAAATAAATTCTATTTATTTTCTATGAGGTTTGCAGTTTTGCAAGTTTGTCATCTGTACCTACATTCAACTCTAATGGTCCTATAAAATGCCTGTTCTGTTGTTGTTGTTTATTTGCTATATGTTTAGATAAAACCAATCAATTACTTTACGTAATAAATAAATGTTTTTTTTTAATGTTTTGTTTAAAAAGGCTGCATTTGTTTGATCAATATAATTAAAATGTAAATGTTAATTTGATTAAATACTATTAACATTTTAAATAACTTATATATATGAATTTTCAGCATCATTACTCCAGCCTTCAGTGTCACATGATCCTTCAGAAATCATTCTGTTGATTTAATGCTCAATAAACATTTATTATGTTATATATTATATTCTTATTATTATCCATATCTTATATGTTGAAATCAGGTGTGCTGCATATTTTTTATTTTTGGAAACTATAATACTTGTTTTCAGGATTCTTTGATTAATAAAGCACATTTAAAATCGTTTGTAACATACCGTAAACGTCTTTACAGTCACTTTTGATCAATTTCATGCATGCCTGCTGAATGAAAAAAAAATTCTGATTTTAAATATAAAAAATATGCATATTACTGACCCTGAATATTTGAATGGTAGTTGAATTTTTTTCCCCCTCTCTTTTTGTTTGTTTTTTGAAGTGATATTGATTCATGCATTAAAATGGAATTATAACTGTATTTTGTATTTAAAAAATATATATAAATTCACAGGTCATGACCTCTGATGTGGGACATCTGATACTGACTTTTGATAAAAAATCCCTATTATCATGCTAGATGAAAGTTACTCTAAATATCTTTATTACATAATACATATTAAATAATAGTAATAATAATGGGACAAGAATTTGTCCTCTATTTGTGTAAATAATAACAATGAAAATAATGTATGTACCTTTAGCCCACCGCCTCCAGAAGGTACAGAGTTCATGGTCTGTTTCTCTGTCTCTTCTTGTTTCTTCTTTTTCCTCTCCAAGGCTTCGGGGTCTTTGATACCTCTGTAGGCGGTCTACACACAGATCAGACGAAATACAGCTACCACACCATACATTTCAGAGATAAATCCAAACATGAACCTGTCCAGTAGTTGCAGAGTGTGATATTATTCAGTGCTCATGTGCCGAATCATAGTGCACCATAAACAAGCTGGAAATGTGAGTACAGAGTGTGCAAAAACGAAAACACTGAAATACAACAACTAGCCGATCAAAAGAAATAATCATATTGTATCAAACTGTATGGCTACAAGCACTGTGACTACAGCAGCAGTGAGAACCGGGCTCATTCTGTCATGATCTCACAGATGTCTGTCGTGGTGTTTCAGCCGTAGAGTGTTTGAGGAGACAGCAGAACGAGGACGTGTACTTACCTCTGCGCTTTGCCTTAAACCTCGAAGAAACAGTAAAACAGCCCAGCAATCACATGTGGGCAAATTAAAAGCACTATTGCATAAAACACTCTTTTTTTTTTTAAAAAGGATCATGTTCTCCTAACAGTTATTTGTTGCCTTGAAAAAAACTGAAGAATGACTAAAAGCACAGAAATGTAGAGCAGGAAGTTGTGATGCTCATACAGTTATTATAAAGTGATACCTATAGATTACAGTATTGAATATGTATATTCTGTGGTGCTGCTAAGACTGAGTCCAGTTACATAATCGATGCTATGAATTTGATCATTTGTGGATCATCAGTGGCCACCAACTCAGGTCATCATAATCGCTCAAATCCTGAGTTTGTCCTGATCCAGAAATAATAATGGCTCAAAATCCCCACCAATATTTTATAAACGGGTTATTTCGGTGATACCGGTATTACCGGTGTTGTCACACGCCGATTAACCGGTGGGAAAATTTCCTCACCGACACAACCCTAATTTCAAGTTCATTTTCAAGGTCATTTTCAGCTTAAATAAAGTGTTTATCTAACAACAGCTCTTTTCTAAGGTGCTTGCTAAACTTATTTGTGCTTGTAAACGTCTATTTCACAATATAGAAACTCAACTAAACTAAACAGCCATTAAAACAGTTACCGTTTCTGTGTGTAATGCTGTCAGACATCAGTGTTACATCACCTCTTTCTGTCTCTTCTCTGCAGCCTCCGCTAGCTGTCTTCTCCTCGTCTCCTGTGGAAAAGAAGAGAAATGTTTTGCTCAATATATATATATATATATATTAGATAATTATTATTATATAATAAAATATACATTTGACTCATTTTGAAGTAATAATCTAATTTAAAACAATTTAATTAATAACAATTATTCTTATCATTCTTATAATTAATTGTAAATTAATGAATTAGCAGACATTGAAGGAAAAGTTATCAATAATGTTTAAACCTCATGAAGTTGGTCATTCTATACTTTCATTCCTGTGTTTTCATAATATTGGTAACGACGAACCATCATTATGTTTGCTTTCTCTCGCTCGTTTTTTTTGTTAAGGAAACAGAAACCATACTGTACAAACACCTTCAGGAGAACTTCAAAGTTCACAGAAAAATAATAAGAAGAAAAAAAACTTCACAAATAACAAACAAGAACACACAAACACACGTAAAAACACCCATACATAAGCAAAAGAAACAACTGAATGAATACACTAAAAAGTATATATTAAAAATATAATAAAATAATGATTTAAAAAATATATTACTTAAAAAAGTAATAATTAACTGAATAAAATAAAATGGAAAACAATGACCAGCCAGGGAAGTGGACTAATACTCATGTTACCTAAGAATGTTTCTTTCTTTCTTTCTTGTCATTATTACCAGTTAAACAATGAGAATAAAAAAAAGAAGAAGATATATTTCATGTTGAAAGGGTTAGTAGCCTAATAGCAAATAATAGGCTATATTTTAAATAAAGATTTGGCAACAATCAGTGGGGTTTAAATCAATGAGAGTATAAATCACACCAACTACATTCCAGAATGTTTCCACAATAAACAAATAAATGTATTAATAACGTTTTATCATTAAGGTTTCATTCATAATGTCACGGGAAGCCATTCCGACCTCATTATTTGATGTACAGTTGTCGTTGTGTTCGGCTGTAAAATGAACAGACTGTAACATGATTGGAAATGCCCTGTCAGGAAAGTCTAACATTTGAAATATGAACACAGTTAAAGATGTAAAGCAGATGAATGCATAGATAAATGTATTACAGTACTCACAGGGTCCGGTGTGACTACTACATCATCCTTAGCTCCACTCAGACAAGGTAAACACATCCCCATACTGATGTTTAACGAAGCACGGGCACAAATAAAACTCCTTTCAGCCAAATGAGAGTAAAACTGAGCACCTATGATGAGCCAGGCCGCTGAGATGATGTCTCTAACAGTCTAACAGCGTCTATATGCTGCTATAAACCCTCTATGAAAGCTGCTTGAACCGAACTAGCAATGTAAACAAAGCCAGCTACCGCTAAATAACCTTTACCACACTAACAGACTAATGTAACCTTCCGCGAACCTCTTTCTCACGCCTCCCGACATCTGTTTTTGGTTTGCTGTATAAATACGATGTATTACTTCAGCTGACAGTGTATCTGTCAGGATGACAGCACTACAGCTCCGTTAGTCGAGGGAAGTGAAGCTCAACAGCGCCATGCTGCCGTATGGAAGTCAAATTACTGTACTACTGTAGCGATGGGTCACATGGTAACTGTTAGCTCAGTAGTAGGCTACCATTGTACTTTAAAACTGTACCATGGTACTGAATGATCACCGTGATAGTTCAAAGAACACAATGGGAATACCATAGCAACATGTTCGAAAATATGTTGTCAGTAACTGCTGGATATTTGTGGATATAGTTTGTGAAAAGACTTGTAATAATCTGAGATAATGTTAAGCATGGAAAATAACAAAGTTGTATTATAGTTATTGCATAGTAATCGTCGTCTAGCTGTAGCATTTTTTGGCAAGGATCTATAAACAAACAAATAAATAAATAAATAAACATAACATGATTACCCAGTTATATAGCCTATGAATTTACAAAGAACATGGCACATTGTCAAAGCTAAAAAAAAAAAACACACACTTTTGCATTTATTTTATGTATGTATTTATTTTATTATGGCATATTTAACCAATCAAATGCACTTTCTTACTGTATGTTGACACAACATCAGACCCCATGGACGAAAAGTAAATGATATACAGTGCCTTGCGAAAGTATTCATAGTACCCCTTCATTTTTTTTCACGTTTTATGTTGCTGCCTTAGGTTAAACTGCTTTAAATTACTTTTTTTCCTACACTCCATACACCATGGCAAAGCAAAAAAAAAACAGGGTTTTATAACATCTTTGCAAATGTATTACAAATAAAAGTCTTAAAAGATTCCATTGCATAAGTATTCATACCCTTATCTGTAGTCAATGTGATATGTGCAAAATTTGAGGTGAAATGTTCACTTTTTCATAAAAGCATGAAACTTGGTATACTTGTATAGTTTGTGGCCCTGAACATTTTCAGAAATGGAGCCATCCCCAAAACACCTCATGGTGGCCATGGCAACCATTTAACTTTCCGCCATAACCAAATTATTTATTTTGTGTCATATCTCCTGAACCAAACATTACAACACAGGAAAGGTGATGTCTGCCCTTATGTTTTGATGGTCAAGGATTACAATGATACCACATACAACAACATAAACTGTTCAGGTGAACAGTTAATGGTGAAATCAGCCATTTGAGAAGGAAGTCACAGTATCTGAGCATCATAATATCACAGCATTTACAATGGTCCATATTATGGATATAATTGTTTTTATTTATTTGATAATTAACTAATACTTTATTCAATAATACAATAAAAAATTGTTTTCAAGAATATCATATATTTCAGAGATATAAAAAAAATAATCTCAAGTAAGTGTGCTCTCAGGCAGTCGGGTAGGCGGTAGTGTGTTTCCAATACATTCTTGTTCTCTCTCAACAACGCTCTAGCATCAAACGCAGACGGCAATGCAATCTTGCTAACCTGCGTTCTATGTGCACCTCTTCTGCTGCACCTCTCTCTTTTTCTGTGGGTTTCTGCAATTGTCAGTATACTAGGGGTTGCACCGACTAATCAACTAGTCGACTTCAATGCTCTGCCATGACGCTTTAAGCTTTTCTCAATAAAATAGCTGATTTCTCAATAAGTTCAAGCATATATTTCTTAATAACTAAATCCCACAGCTTCACTACTAGTATAGAGACACTGCCAGGTAGAATTAATTCACACACGCAATCGCTCTCACTAATGCATTCATTTGAATGTAATCTTTACTGTGCTATTTCTGTATCTGATTTAGAACGAAATATAACGACCCAAAGACAAAAGAACTGTTAAAAATGAGCTGTTATAGGAGCAGTGGGCATGTGGGCAGCGCTGTGTCATATGCCATAGCTGTGCACAAGCTGTTTATCACAGCTCCAGACTTATCTGTTCATTAATGACATCATCTGCGACTAGTCGACTTCGACTCGACTTTCATCACATAAAAGTCGACTTTAAAAAATCAGAAGTCGTTCAACCCCTTGTATATACGCTGTCAACAAACAGACTTCATTCCGGCTATTACTTCTCAGTCTACTCTTAGTATCTTGGGCTTGACTGGATTCGTTCAGAAGACTCAACAACCCCTTCTATTCTCTCTAACAACTTCCCTTTCTCTATTTATCACTTTCCTTGTCAACTGGGCACCTTTATAGAGGAGCTGAATGGGCTGTTGTCCTCATTCTTTGGGGATGGCAGTCCACTTGTAGTCTTTGGTGACATCAACATCCATCTGGAGAAGCCTTACACTGCAGCCTTACACTCACTCACACATGCAATGTATCACAGACAACATTTTGGGAAAGACATCTCTGATCATTTATTTATTACATTATTACATCTAAATTACATTTATTACTCATCTCTTTATCTTTCTGCACTGGCTACCGGTTGTGGCTCGCATCAAGTTCAAGACATTGATACTTGCATATAAAACAGCCACAGGCTCAGCACCCGCCTACTTCCACTCACTCTTAGGAGTCTACATTCCTTCCAGAAGCCTGAGATCTGTAAGTAAGTGACGCCTCATGGTACCATCACAGAGAGGCACAAAATCACTTTCCAGAACATTTTCATTCACAGTTCCTGGCTGGTGGAATGATCTTCCCACACCCGCAGTAATTAACAGAACACCCGGCATGTTATCCGACAGCAACATTAATTTAATCCCATACCTGACCCGTTTTACATAAAAACTGTGACCCGGACATCTCCCACATTAAATCTCCTACATGAGGTAGACAAAACTAATTTATTCAAACTGTCATTTAAATTGTGAATAAATTAAATACAGAAAGCAAGCAAAGAGCTCTCCCTTTAATATAATCACTACAGCTGTCAATCATTGGCAGCACGATTGGCTACCTGTCACCGCCCGGCCCGCACCCACACCCAACACATAAATTTTTTTTTACCCATTACATCAAATATTAGTGGTTCACCTGCGTGTACCCACCAGCGTTCAGGACTCTGGCTTCCCTCTTGTGGACACCAACATAATAGACAACTCTGGCCCCAGAGGGTGATTGTAAATTAAGTTTACATGAAATACGATTGAAATTTCAATCTGCATCTTCTGAGATACTGCGATTTTATTGTAATCCTTCTCATAAAGTCACTGAATTCACCATCAACTGTTCACCTGATAGCGTTGCCGTCTGCATTTCATGTTAGAGCGTTGTTGAGAGAGAACAAGAATCGGTCCCACTTTATATTAAGTGACCTTAACTACTATGTACTTACATTTAAATTAATCATCTGGTACAATGCACTTATCGTGTACATACATGTTTTTACATTGTACTTATATTTGAAATATATCTACCTTAACCCACCCTTAAACCTACCCATACCACCAAATCTGTCCCTAACCTTACCTGTATCCCACCTCAATAGCAGCAGAAGTGTTTTGCAATACAATATGAACACAATAAGTACATTGTACTTATTTTTGATGTAAGTACATAGTAGTTAAGGCCACTTAATATAAAGTGGGACCCAAGAATCTACAGGAAAAACATACTGCTGCCTACCTGACTCTGCCTGACAAGTAAGGAAAAATACACTTACCTGAGAAGATTTTTTTTCCCCGGAAATATATGATTGTATTCATGAAAACAATCTTTTATTGTATTATTGAATAAAATACTGGTTAATTATCAAAGAAAGAAAATATTAATAGCCATAATATGGACCATTATAAATGCTGTGATACTGTGATTTCCTTCTCACATTGTTGATTTCACTATTAACTGTTCACCTGAACAGTTTATGTTGTTGTATGTGGTATCATTGTAATCCTTGACCATCAAAACATAGGGGTAGACATCACTTTTCCTGTGTTATCATATTTGGTTCAGGAGATATGACACAACATACAACATACAACGTGTTCCTGTGGCTCAGCGCTAGAGCATTGCGTCAGCAACGCAAAAGTTTGTGGGTTCAATTCCCAGGGAACACACATACTGGAAAAAAATTTGTAGCCTGAATGCACTGTAAGTCGCTTTGGATAAAAGCGTCTGCTAAATGCATAAATTAAATTAATTAATTTAACATACATAATTTGGTTATGGTGGAAAGTTAAATGGTTGCCATGGCCACCACGAGGTGTTTTTGTGATGGCTCCATTTCTGAAAATGTTCAGGACCACAGACTATACAAGTCTACCAAGTTTCATGCTTTTATGAAAAAGTGAACTTTTTTTACATATCACCTGGACTGGGACAGTTGAAATTTAGCTCAGGATCATTCATATTGCTTGTAGAGGTTACTACACTTCGAGTGAAGTTAACCTGTGGCAAATTCAGTTGAATGGGTATTATTTGGACAGGCACATACATCTTAATAAAAGGTTTAACAGCTGATAATGCATCAGAGCAAAAACCAAGCCCTGAGGTAAAAAAAAAACGCTTGTAGAGCTCAGAGACCGCATTGCATCAAGCCACACATCTGGGGAGGAGTTCAGAAAAAAATTCTGCTGCATTGAAGGGTCACAGAAGCATGTAGTCTCTGTTACCCTTAATGGAAGAAGTTTGAAACAACCAGGACTCTTCCTAGAGCTGGCCTCCTGGCCAAACTGAGCAATTGATGGAGAAGGACTTTGGTTAGTGTTGTGACCAAGAAGCTGATGGTCACTCTAGTTGAGCTCCATGATCATATGTGGAGATAGGAGAAACCTACAGAAGGACAAACATCACTACAATACTCCACTGATCTGGGCTTTATGGGGGTGTGGCCAGACTCAATCCTCTCTTCAGTGAAGACACATGAAAACACACTTGGAATTTGCAAAGAGCCCTTCATTGACTGGCCATTAACAATGTTTCTGTTTCATAAGAAACAAGTTTGTTCACCTTCTATTCTATGAATCTGTCAGTAGAACCTAGTGTGTTAGGGTCATAATCACTCAAAATACAGCACTTATGGCACAGTAAACTATAACACAGGACTAATACATTATTGATGGGAGATTGTTGTTAGCCGCATCAGATCCGGAATACTGTTACATTATCTGTGCCTGTAAATTGTTTTGCAAATGTACAGTATGTAAAACTCCACCCCATCTGTGGTC